GTGGTGTGGGGAGGGAGAGGCAAATGCCAAAGTGCAGCAGCTCAGCCGATAGACGATCGCAGTGGTTAACTTGCCTTTTGATAAAGAGCTAATGTTTTAGAAGATTGAGTCAAGGTTATTATGAAAATGCAGGGCGCAGTGCAAAGATATCATCAAAGCGACTGCAGAGCCCAGTGTGAAACCCTCAGCTATTTAGCAGAAGCTGCTGACACAGCTGGGTGAACGCTTTTTTTTTTTTTTTTTTTCATATGAAACTGAAATGCTATATTTTGGCAAGCGAGACTTGTGAAACGTAGGTGCAGCTAACTGTCTCGTCTTGCACTTTCCCAGCCTTCGGGGCCAGCCAAACCAGCCGAGCCCCTTGGGTTTTCATCAGACCTTTTGTGTGGCTCCCCACAGTCGATCAGCTCTTCCATCCAAAAAGCAAGGCTCAGATCCCAGCTCTGCCGAAGTCACCCATCCTTTCCAGGTTGTTTTTTTTCCCATGTTCTCCATGATAGCAACCAAGACATCTGTGTGCCAGCAGAGACTGGAGCCAGAAAACCCCACCACTGAATTTATGCATAGCTGACTCTCGTGGAAACTCATTGACTCTGAAGCTGTCCAGGCTGATTAGTCCACCTCCGGCTGCTATGTTTGCACGTGTAAATGTGTAGAACTGGGTGTCTCTGGAGAGGCTCCGCTTTAAATGGTGTGTAGCATGTTTCAGCAGTTTAAGATAAACCAGAGTCATGTATTGCCATGTTTACCCTGGGATCACCTGCATAAAGATTAACATCTTTGCAGCTGCTCTTAAATTAGTCTCTTGAGAATAAACTATAGTTTCATAGTTCCTCCCAGTGGACAGTGAAAGGAAGTACCAGTAAAACAGCCGTTTTGGCTGTTTTCTGCCCTGCCACAAAAGCTGGAGCCGCACAGCGCTGGACTGTCAGTGCTTTGGCATCCCAGGAGCAGACCATAGGTTCTGGAACGTGCGGCAGGGTGCTTGAGTTTAGAGCAGGACAGGCACGTAGGATGGTTTGTTGCTTGTTCTTTACGCTCTGCTGCACATGGAAAATAAGCAAATGTGTGTTTCTTGGAGGAATTCAAGCGGGAAGGAGAAGCAGCAGTCGTTTCTTAAGGTGAATCTGATCAGTGACTCCAATGCATTGGGACTTGGTATAGTTTCCTCTCCATCCTCATCCCACCTTTGAAGCGTTAGACCCTAAAACACCAGAAGCCATTAAGCGGTGTTGTAACCTTGTCCCATCATGTCACTGTCAAGAGAGTAATTGCAAGTCCTGCCTGTTTGGAGCGTTTACACCCTGTTTGTAAGACTTCTGTCGTCTGCAGGATGGCAGTACTGACTTTGTGCTTTTTTTTTTTTTTCTTTTCCCATTTTTAGCCACGTCTATCCTGAAGAAATCCAAGCGACTAAAGAAGAACAATGTGGAGTTTGACCGGGTCACTGTGTTTTACTTCCCACGCTGCCAGGGGTTCACGAGCGTGCCTAGTCGTGGGGGCTGTACCCTGGGGATGGTGAGCAAACACAGCTCCTCCCGGCAGTTCACGCTAGCGGAGTTTTCAAAGGAGCAGGAAAACGTTCGGCGGGAGAAACTCGAAGAGAAGTTAAAAGAAGAGAAGTTGGAAGCGTTGAAATGGAAAGTGAGTAGGAACCTGGGGCTGGGTTGGTGAGGATGGATGTCATTAGTTAACGGACAGTTTTTAGTAGGAGCCTCTCTGAGACCTGGGGGCATCGATCCTTGACCCTGTTTGGGTCTCCAAAAACAGCTCAGTTCTCCGCCTTTGAAAAGTGATGGAAAAGACACTGAACTCTGTGTAACATCTTTGGGAGCTCTGACACAGACCTTTGTCCTGGGGTTGGCCACTGTGGGTGGCAGATCCTTCCTTTCTTGTTTCTCCTGACCTGGAGGTGCTGATGGCTCTGTGACCCCAACAGGTCCCTAATGCTTTGCCCATTTTTTGCCCTTAGCTAACCATGAATGGCACAAAAGAGTCGGAGGAGGCCAACCAGCTCACCATCGATGACATCTCCGATGACGACATTGACGTCAGCAACGTAGACCTGGAGGACGGCTTCTTCCTCCAGCCCTACCCTGCCAAGAAGAGACGTGCGCTGCTGAAAGCCGTGGGGGTGAAGAAGATCGACAAGGAGGAGAAGCGAGAGCTGCATAATATCCGTCTGTCCCGGGAGGACTGTGGCTGCGACTGCCGGGAGGTCTGCGACCCAGAGACCTGCAGCTGCAAAGTGTCAGGTACTTTCCTCGCCTCCGGGCACGGGGGAAAAGCCGCGGCTCCGGCTGATGTGTACGTTAAAGCAGGGAGGCTTTGAGCAAGCAGGATGGAGTTAAGGCAGCTTGTAAAATGCATCTGTTAGCACCTGCACTTTGGAGCAAAGCAGGCGAGAAAAGCTCTTGGAGATGCTCCCCAGGCTGCGAGGCAGATAAATGCTCGAAAGCATCTGCTTCCCAAATCACATGTGCAGCCATCCACATGCTGCCGCTGCGGCCGTGGGGATGTGCCTGAACCTGCAGCGTGAATGCGCTCACCACATCCATCCCCACGAGACCCGTACCTGCTTGGTCTCCTCTTGGAGATGGGCCACATGGGAATGTCTTAGCAAACAAAAGCTTCTCGCTCCTCATGTGAGGCTGCGATTTCTCCTTCTCCTCCTGGTTTTATTTTTTTCCCTTGGTGCGTAACTCCCAGCCATCCTCAGGCAAACATGGGAGCGTCAGCACACAGCTAGCTGTGCAGACCACCTGAAAAGTAGGGTAGTCCCTCTATAGTCAATTAGCTTATTATATTTTTAAACTCTTTTTTTTTTTAATGGATACCTGCCCAGCTGTGTTTGGGGAGCCATATTCCCTGTTCTGGGTGCTGTTCGCTCCCTCGATGCCGTGGTTGCTGGCTGGGGGTGGGGTAAGGTGGGTGTGCACAGGTGGATGGGGGCACACAAGCGGACGAGTGCTCCATGTCACAGCCCCCCTCTAGCAGCTGCTGATAACGGGGACATAAAGGTGCCACAGATGCCTGCTGAGCAGTTTGTCCTTGTCTTGTCAAGGGGCAGAAACTCACAATATGGATCAGGTAAATACCATGTTACAATATACAAAAAGTCATGTTTGCCCCCTTATGTCTCCTTTTGGAGTGATATGTTTTGATTTTTTTTGAACCTTTTAACTTTCTTCAGTTGTACTGAAATCCAGCTTTTGAATGACAGCCCTTCAAAAGAGCACGGTGTCTTTTATTGTGTTCTGGGTTTTTTTTTTCAGTCTGTTTTTAAACCCCTCAGCTGTCACTTAGTTTCTCAGGGTGGGTGACTCGCAGACAGTTTCGATTTTACCCCGCTGGGTTCGTTCCTAACCCTCGGCTTTTGCTTCTCCCCACGCCAGATGGATCACACCTCCTTCCCCTGCGGCTGCACCAAGGATGGCTGCGGCAACACCGAGGGCAGGATCGAGTTCAACCAGGCCCGCGTGCAGACCCACTTCATCCACACCATCATGAAACTGGAGCTGGAGAAGCAGCAGCAGAGCAGCGAGAAGGTGGTGGAGGCCGAACCCCCTTTTCGGGAGCGGCTCGCGCCATTAGGATGCGCGGCGGGGAAGGGTTCCTTGGAGGAGCGCGCTGTGCCGCTGGCACCCGCCTTCCAGTTCAGCCCCGAGCTGGAAGCACTGGGGGAGAACAGCTGCAGCAGCGACATGACGGACTCCTCCATCTCCTCCCACCCCAGTGAGGACCTGGAGGAGCCCTACGAGAGCCTCCCCTCTGACAAGTCCCAGTCGGACGTGGACGATGATGGCTTGGCACGCATCCTCCACTTCAACGACTCAGATGCAGAGGAAGAGGGAAGCCATGGTCAGGATGACCTGAGCTGCTTCCACCCCACCGACTTCTTCATTGAGGACCACAGCAGCGAGGCCAAGCCTGTCCCTGGCCACTTGTCCCACCTCTCCGAGTGCCTGGATGAGAATGCCAACCAGGATGGAGGGGGTTTGCTGGAGGATGCTGCCCACGCGCGGTGCGATGGGCTGTCCTGCTGCTCCTCGTCCCCGGCCGAGCCCTGCTCCAAGAGCTACGCTGACCTCAGCCTTTCCTCTGACTCCTTGGATTTCTTCCAGTCCTTCTCGGACTATAACTTGGGACCCCTTTACAACTCCTTAAAGGAGTATGAGAACCTTGATAATTTCTCAGCGTTACAGTTTCAGTTGCCTAATTTCCCTGGCTTCCCACAAACCGGAGATCAGGGCTCCTGTTTCTTGGAGTCCCTCATCGGTTTGTCTGAATCTGTCCCCGAAACCCCAGCCCCTTTCACAGACAATCAGCTTTTGGAGGATGCCATCAAGTCATCACTGATGGAGACGGTGAAAGTGTGAAACGCCCACGTGGCTGAGATGGCAAGGACCAGCGCCAAAAGGAAACCCGAAGAAGGGTTGGACGGGCAAACTTTCACCGAAAGGATGATGTGCTACTCAAAAATAAGGAGAAAAAAAAAATTAACAACAAAAAAGACTTTCTAAGCAAACAAACTATTTTTGGTCTTTATAGAATGTGGACGTTTTGACATACTGCAGCTACAATCAGTTCTCTCGCTGTTTGTGCAAAAATTTCTAAACTTTCATGATGGGGTGGGGAGGGAGGGGAAAAAGACTTTCACATATGAACTTCCTTGTGTTTTGTATGAAAAGACCTGTTGAGAAATACTCCTCGCTAACGTTGCCAGTCGTACACACAGCCCCTTCTAGAAGCGTTTCAGTGTTGCAGGAACTTTTTAAGACAACTTTTTGAAGCTGTATTTATTGTGAAAATTTGTGGTTTGCGTAAGAGTTAGCCCAACACGCTCTTACGTTTAAATCGGACAAGGTTTACAGAAGAGATCCATTACACTATATACATAATCATTCTTCATCTATTTATTGCAAATTCCAGAATTTAACTAGCCACCGAAGCTTGAACTAGCATGGAACCTTATTTAAATTGGTAATACCTCAGATGTATTATGTGTACAATCATATTTTTTTGCATAATATATCTGTATTTATTTATTTTCTACCTGTAGTACGTGAATAGCACTGTGGTTTATCAAGGACCTGGAAGGGCAATAACATCTTCAGCAGCACCCATCCTAAAGGCAACCCTGTTTTTTTTTCTGAGTCTGAAAGGTGTGGGCTGTTTGGTCTTCACTTCACATTTCTAAAAAGAGCTGAATGCAAGAGGGTGGGAGGGGAGGGATGGGGAAAATGTTTGTGCAACATCCTTTGGTCACTGTCAGCCCTCTGGAAGACATCGTGATGGTGTCTGATCTGCATAATGCTGCTCTGAAGAGCAAAACAAAGCAACACCCTCAGCTGTTCAAGAAATAACATGAACTAGCTCTATTTAAACAAAAAACACAAAACCCTTTTTTATAAATTATTTTATAATTTATTTAATTTCGTAAGGATTTGGCCATGAGATCTTTCCTGATCAATTATGGTGCCTGAATATGCAGAGGAACCGTTAGCAGCGGTGTAAGGAGGAGGACCTTTGCAGCCCTGGGGGGGCTTTGGGAGAGCAAAGCCAACAGCAGCAGCACTGTGCTCACGCTCCTCAGCAAGTGCTCCTTGGGATTCCCCAACCTCAAGGGTATTGCAGCTCCAAAATCTAATGGGCCAGACTGATTATACCTTTTTTTTTGTATAGGTAAATCGAGTAAATCAAGTAAGATAGATGGATATGAAGGTTATTGGATTATTCATCCTTTGAGTACGGTTTTAGAGGGAAGAAAAAATTATGCCTGAAACCAAAGCTGAAAAACTTGGAAGGCTTTTGTTTCTTAAAATGAGAGAAATGATCATGTTTAGGAAGGATTTGGGGCCTTTTGCTATTTAAGTCAGTTTGAGAACATGACACTATCGTGAGATGTAACTGGACATAAAATCTGTACGTCAACGATACACTAAGTGCCTATGCCAGTGGTATGAAAAAAAAGAAAAAAGGCTTTAAAACCTACCGACTTTAAATGCCCCCTTGGAAAATGTGAGCTTAGGGGATGGGAGGGATTCCTGGCATTGCCGGCGTGGCGGGGAGGCAGCAGCTCCGGCATCCCAGCCTTGCTGCCCTGGGAGCAGGGTGCTGGTGCGAGCTCCTGAGGGGTGCGAATCCACCCTGATGGGTGAAAAAAAACCCAACAAAATATGGATTTGAGGATTTTTCCGTTGGCTGAACTGTTTATAACCCTGACAACAGGGATGGTGCTCTTGGGTACCTGCTATTCCCCAGGTGCCTCTTGCAACCTGCTGGCAATTTAGGAAACTCCTGGTGTACGAATATGGTGAAGGCTGGGTTGTTTGGGGTTTTTTAATCATTATTATTACTATTTAATTGTACGTCTTCTCTGGTATTGAGCCAGTCAACTCAGAATTGGAGCTGACTGGCCATGGCTGTGAGCGGGTGC